AGACTTCGGGAGAAAACAGCCTCCCCACAGAAGAGACGACAACGCCCGCCCGGCCGCCCATCCCCTCTCCCGACCCCTCCCCGCTTACTTTCTGCGCCTCCATGGTCAAGGCGGTTCCAGAGAAGAGGAGCAGGCAGGTAGCGGGGCTCCCTCAGGAGGCACGAGAAGGAGGACGGGTGAGAGGAACCGTTGGCGTCTCGAGACCACTACCACTACCCCACCCCACCCCCGCCTTGCATCAACCGTTCAGGGTCGGCGAGCAGCGCCGCAGGACCTTCAGCGGCAGTGACCAGCCCAAGAACGTGCGTCAGATAAGCCCCGCCCCTCGCCCGCCTCCGCCGCCGCTTTGCCGAGCCTCCGTTCGCCTCGGCGTGAGCATGCGCCCTGAGGCCCGGGGAAAGGCGGTTTTGCCCTAAAGAGCATGCGCCGCTCTTCCAGCCTGTCTCGAGGCTGTGTATTTTTGGGTCTTCGGTTTCCCTCCTGTTATGACTCCGGGGACGTCCGAGACCGCCTGGTTTGGTACCCATCCCAACCAACCTGGTGGCGGCCCTCCTGTGGTCTGGTTACTACATGTTCCGTGTTTAGAACGGCAGGTTTGATGCTTGTAGCATCTGACCTGGTTTGCAGCCCTGCCTTATTTATGTCCTGCCATTGTCATAAAAATACAGATTTACCTAGCGTTTTCTTCCTATTAAAGCTGCAATTTTAGGGACGCTTTCTAGAGAATTGTCACAGTCATGTGAATTTGATACTGCTTTAATTGTTGTGGATCTGTCCTGAGGAATCTTGGGATTTGTAGTTTCATGAGGTGTTCCAAAGCCTCTGCACAACAGCTCTGGGGATGACCCTGAACTACATAGAGGAAAATTTCAACTCCCTCCCTAAACTACAAAGTCAAGAACAAAGGATGAAGTTGTGGAACTTAACGCGATATCAAAGTGATATTAACTATGGTAAAATCTGATATGAGAGAGATTGATTTAGTCCAGTCATGTCCGACTCTAGGACGCGGTGCTCATCCCTGTGTCCAAGCCGTAGAGCCAGCATTTGTCCAAAGACAGTTTCCATGGTCACATGGCCAGTGCAACTAGACACCTTCCCACCGTGGTGGTACCTACTTATCTACTTGCATTTTTACATGCTTTCAAACTGCTCGGTTAGCAGGAGCTGGGACAAGCGACAGGAGCTCACTCGGTCATGTGGATTCGATCTTACAACTGCTGATCTTCTGACCCTGCAACACAGAGGTTTCTGTGGTTTAACCCATAGCGCCACCACGTCCCACTCTGGGGGTGGGTTCAAATCTGATTCGAGAGAGATTGATTATATACCAGTGTATTAAAGCTGTTTCAGAGTTCCTTTGCAGACCTCAAGCACCCCTTTAAACAAATCCATTTCAAAACGAAACTCAAAGCCTTCATGTCCAAAATGGTCTCCTGCCGGTCCTTCACGTCAGAGAAGTATAAAAAGAGCCAGGCAGGGTTAGACACAATGTCTGTCCACTTCAGTACCACTCTCCCACTGTGGGCAAGTAGATGAAAGGCATGCTGTCTCTGATTTTCAAGGTAATACTCAAGGCCAGCATGATTCCTGTAGTAGCCAGCCACCAGCAGCCTTCATCATACCTCAACACCTTTCTTCAGAGGTAGTGCGGGAGAGCAGATGAATGTTTGGAATTTTTTCACTGCAACTGGAGTTTTCCCCCAGCTACAGTTATGGTAGCTTCAGCCAGGGGAATTCTCTACAGATCCTAAAGAGCAGAGCAGCTACTGCATCCAAAATCAAGGTAATAATTATGATGTCCAATTTCTTTAACATCTATGCAAAAACCCCATTCTCCAGGTGGTGAGAAATGTCTGAAATGCACCAATGTACCCTGCTGTTGTTCTCCTCTCTTCGATGTATGTACAAATGTATAGGGAGCACATAGATGGCAGTATAGCATTAACTGCTCCAACAGATGTTTCAAAGTTTCTGCACTCCATGTTCATGAAACAGATTATTGAAGAGAACAAAATTGCAATCAGACAAGAAAACAATTCACGTTTTGGACCACTTGTGGCACAAACCAGGGTGCACTATTTCCCAATGATCACATGGCCTACAGGAAATAGCGGTCTAGTGTGACCTTAGATCACTAACTGGACCTTTTTGGTTCAGCAGCAAAGTAACTCTTTTGGGGGGCAGACAGGAACAGTTCCCACACATATGGAAATGTTACTTTAAGGGAGATCACTTCCAGCAAATCAGCTCTTTCCAGTGCGATCAGCCATGATCTTTTCTTGCTATTTGATTACACCCTAAGTCATCCGTGAGCCCTTTTCAGTCTTACTCAAATTCAAATTGCCACTGATAATGAGCATCTTTACCAGTGTCAGTCCTACATTAGGTAGAAGAAAATGGTTGCCTCAAGTGGCAGATGTTGGCAGATGACAGTAGAGAGCTAGAAGAGACAGCTTTGCCCTGCATCCAAATTCACTGGCTTCATTCAGCTGCGGTGGAGGATGCTATCCTAGCACCAGTTCTGAAGAAAGATTTGTCTGCCTTTGCACAAGGAATAAGAGAAAGTGACCCCTTGAATGGAAGGCAACAACATTTTGTTTTGTGGTCTGTCCAGATACTGTATCATAGTAGTTTCAGCATCTGGCTGCAGAGGCTGAGGTTGGGAGTTCGATTTCCCACTGTGCCTCCATGACACGAGATAGATTTGAAGGTCCATAGATCCCTTCCAGCTCTGCAGTTCTTAGGTTAAACCCCATGCTTCTTTCCCGCAATCCCATTGCTTTCAAAACACTATTTTCAGACAATTCTAGTATGAAGCAGACTTCAGCTGGGAGTGGAGCAATTAGACTTTCTCCCAAAAATTGCAGTAGTTACTTAGGAAAGTAGGATTGGACAGGTAACTCTAAAGACTGTAAATCTTCAAGGAGTTAAAAATGTCAGTCATAGTTTTGTGATTCTTGCATTGGTTAAGCACACTGAAAGATAGCAGCATACTCATTTCACACAGAACAACTGGCCAGAATAATTACTGCCAGTTTTGCCTCATTGGCTTCTACAAGGGCTACTAGAGACTTCATTTGTTTTTAAATGAAAGCTTGGAATCCTGGCCAGCTAATATTGCAAGTGGGTATTGGGTGGCATAGCTAGATTCTGGGTTAAACCTGGCCAACTTGGCAATAAAGCAAAGTTACCCATCCTCAAATGCTCTCTCTGTGTCTGTCACTCACACGCCACACATTCATTCACCTACATAGGCAAGTACTCCATTCATTCATCACACACACATCTTTTCCTTCCTCCTTTCCCTTTTTGACCTCTAGTTTCCCCTCTTACCCTTGTTCCCTCCTCCCCCCACAGCAATCCCAACTGAGCCTAGAAACACTAGGGAAATTATGACGACAGGTCAGTGGAACCTGGCCTAGTGGCTATAGGAAAGAGTTTGTTTCAGTATGAGGGAGGGGCAGGAGAGCCTAATGGGTAATGCAGAAGGGCTTTGCAGCCACCAGGACAAGAAAACCTGGCCTAACCATTGGGACAGGGAATTTTGGAAGAGAGACAGCATGTCAACGATCATACTTGCTTCTCTGTCCATTCTCTCTCTCCCTCTCTCTCTCTGCTTTAGTCAATTTGGGGTGGGGGTGGACAGATCCTCCCTCAATTGCTGCAGAGGTTCAACACACCCACCCACCCCGTTTATAAACTGCAACTGGATAGAGGGATTTGTGGCTTCTTCTGAAAGCTGAGGGGAAAAACTCTTTTCCAAGGCCTAGTCACTTCCCTCTTGCTAACCAGGCCTTTCCATTCAGGGAAGCTTCTGGCTATTGACTGCCTGCTGAGGAGGAGTCTTTTGACAGAAGTGTGCTGCACTGTTTATTGATGTGCTCTCAAATCAATTGTGTTTTTCAAATACAATTTGTTTAATTGCATTTTAAAGTTCTAACTTTAAAAAGAAGTTCTAACTTCTAATATCATATCCGTATCTTTTAAATGGATCTCTTATGAGCTGCCTCAAGTCCCAGTACAGGGAGGCAGAAGATGGGATAAAAACCAAACAACTTAATAAATAAATAAATAGTGTATTAAGCCTCTGGGACTGCCAAGGGTTATTATCTATACACAACCCTCCAGTCTTTGAAATATTAACTGGGGATTTATAATGATTTCCACAGAGATTCATTCCTTAAATGTTACCACAGGATTTTTTTTGTTGCGAGCCTTCTAACTGCACTGTAAGGGTAATTATGGTAAACTACCTTACAGGGTTGTTCCAAGGATTACTGAGGGTGTTGTCTGGAACACGTGAAGTGTAATGCATAAACGCTACGGATGTATGAGAGAGAGAGAGAGAGAGAGAACTTGTCCTGAGCTGCTAACGTGCTTCAGGCACATGATGTTAGTAATCTTCTTGATCACATTACAAGGTAGAGCTCCTGAGAATATGCATGGTAATACATGGGGCCACCTGAGTATGTCTACAGAAGCTCTTTCAAATGTTGGGGATGAGGGAGGGGTGAGAAAGTAGCGTTTTTGAAAGGGCTATGAGGTGATCTGTGTGTGGTCCTTGGAGGCCTACAGGGAAGAAAGTTTGAGCCAAGCGACAGATTACTGTGTATACGTATAACATATAGTATCATATACAGTACTGCTTGTTGCCATGGCCCGTCGGGCTTCTTAACATCAGTCATGAATGCAGTTCACTATTTTATGACCCTTCCATCTCCTCACAGAGCACTCTTTACAGGCGTCAAGGTTGCCCAAATGCTAAAATTCCTGGAGGGTCGTTTTTATTCTTCATGGCTTGCCTCAGTAAACAGGCTCCAGCTGATGCCACAGGACAAGGCTGATCTTTCAACCAATTAGAGCTAAGGATTCTCTAAAGCTATTATGTAACAAGGATTATCTACTGTCCCGTTAACAAGCTCAAACCAACTCTAATCCTATTCTTGTCCTGCAGGCCAGTTCCTCAATCTCTTGAAAAATGGAGGATCTAAATATATACTCCACTTACGTACACAAATCACTCTTCTGCCTTGTGGTCTACAGACTGAGCTAGGATATTTATTGTCTCAGTCAGGCAAGGTAGAAGTGCTGCAATGTAGTGCAAACAGTGTCTGAGCTGCACAGAACTCCTGTCACAGCTGAATTCATGCAGGGTTATTTTGGTCAGCGTGTGTGTCATCTTGGGAAAACTTAAACCATTTTAAAGCTGTGTTGGTTTAGGAGTTACGCAGGCTTTTAGAATCGTTGTGTATGAGACTTAGTTCTGCACCCACCTGCCTTCGCACTTGCTGCCTCTCTTGCCTTATTTTTTTTAATTTCTT